AGAAAGTAGACCAGTGGTTGCCAGGTATAAGGGAAAGGAGAGACAGCAAGTAACCATTAATGGGTATGATGTTTCTTTTTGGGGTGATGAAAATGTTCTGGAATTAGTGTGACGGCTGCATAATTCTGTAAATACAATAAAAACCACTGAACTACATACCTTAAATGTGTGAATTTTATATGTGAACAGTTAAGACACAGCAATTCCACTCTTACATGCACCTGAGAGACTTATCCACAGGCATAATACATGTACAAAAGTGTTCACAGTCATCCAGCAATAATAATATGGTTGAATTAGCAATTTTTAGTGAAATAAGTCTCACAAATTACATCAGCATAATTAGAATTAGAAATATGTATATATTTTTAAAGAATATATATAAACACAGTAAGAATGTCATAAAGGAAAACAAAGTATTGATGAAAGATGATGGTTTCCTTAGAGGGAAGCAAAGGGATGGGTTAAATCAGAGTACCATTTGGCTAGGTGCAGATTATTGTCAAAACCCAGCTTTTGCTTTGGGTAGTAATTTCTTGGGTGCTTATTAAAAATAATTAGTTAATCAATCAAACAAAAGTGGATGTATCATGAACTAATGATGAGGGTGTATCATGAACCAAGGACTACGATTATTCTGATTATCTGCACCTGTGGTCCAATGGGAAAAAAGGCAAAAAGCTGTCAGAGCTCTATCCACATCCCTCCCCTGCATTCTGAGAGACTGCCCTTTTCCCACCCCAGGAGAAGACTGAAGGTTTTTTCTCTGAAATGATAAAATACAAGATCTTTGATCCGAAAAACTACAGGTCCAGGTGGTGGCAGACAAACCATACTAAAACAGGAGGATTAAGTGAACGTTTAAAGCCTGAATGTTGAGGCCTTGGTCTTCTTCTGCACTTGGGTCCCAGAATACTAATATTAGTGTCTGGTGTGTAATCTCGAAGCTTATCTGGGGAATCTGACTAGTCCCAGAGAAAAAATCTAAAGCTGTTGACATCAGGGTTTCCCCAAGGAAATGGACTGTCTGATCGCCCCAGTGATAAGCCTCACCTAGTGTACACAGGCCTTGTAATGATTTACCCTAGACAGCCAGGGATCATTAGCCATTTGGGGAAAGAACCTGTGCCCGTTGTCAATTTCTGGTTTCTCAGACTCATATGCACCATTCTTTGTAATACTGGGGCTAGACTGCACAAGCACATCCCCTTTGCCAGTCCTTTTTAAAAAATAGCACAGGAGCCACTGGCTTAAGGTGCCAGGAACCCTCCCAGACCAGATGAAGCTACACCCTGGTCCATGCTGTCCTCACCCAACTGTAGCTTCTGCAGTAGCTCAGACCTTATTTTAGACAAATGTCTCCCCCAACAGGTGAGTGGCCTGTGGATGGGTTATAGCCCTCAACCTCTGGCAAGTTTCTTCATTACTTGCCAGCTGCGTTTTCTCTGCCTTCTTCGAAGAGGCCTCCATCTGGGGCTTGCTGATGGTGGCTCAACCAAGCCCTTAGTCCCTTTTGGGTCCACACTCCCGCAGCCTAGGAGCAGGAGCTGCTGCTTTTCCAACTGCTACTTCTGGACCCCTCAGAATTCTCTCTTACCCCTTTGAGAAATCAACCACCCCCTGCTAGTTAACAACATTTTATTTTAAATTTTCTCTACTAAAAGTGTGTGCTTTCTGTCTCCTGACTAGGCCTTGTAGAAATAACCCACAGGATGGAGAAAATGTGACCTGAAGGCTACTGAGATGAGTCACTGGGCCTTCTGTATGTAAAACCTTGACTCACCCACTTTATTAAGAAAATAAAAAAGGGCTAGTACCTTCCTGCCACTGTTACTTTATAGTGTCCCTCTAGGGTCCTTTATTTACAAATTCTAACACTGTCAGCTGGCAAAGGAGAAATGCACAGAAAAAGAAAGTAGTCATGGCTTAGCTCTGAATAACAGTTACATAGTATGATAGTGTAAATGCTGGAAATTGATCTAATCTAAATTATGTCACATTGGGAGGATGGAGTGATAGAAAAATACATGTGTCATGGAGCTGGGTGTGTATATGTGTTAGAGAGAGAGAGAGAGAGAGAGAGAGAGACAGAGACAGAGAGAAATCATCCTCCATAATAGAATGCCAACAGATAATGCCTACAACTGAATATTAATAAGTGGAAATATATGCATATTTAGAGAGATGGAGGCAAAAAGAATGTAGTGCCTATGTTCAAAAAGACATGTATAAGAATGTTCATAGCAGCTTTATTCATAACAGTAAGGAAAATAAAGCAAAACCATGACTAGAAACAATCCAAATGTTCACAGAGACATTTGATTAACACAGTGGACTGCTACATAGTAATGAAAAAAGAATGAATTACTGACACATAGAACGAAATAGAAAAATCTCAAGACTATATTGAGCAAAAACAGACCCAGAAGAGTGTACACTGATCGATTCCATTTGCATTAAGTTCAAGAACAGGCTAATCTATAGAGGTAATAGCACAGTGGATCCTGGTCTGGGGAGGGATAGCATGTAGGAAAGGGCTCAAGGAAACCTTTTTGGGTGATGGAAATGTTCTTTATTTGATTTGGTGGTAGTAACATGAGAGAATATGTATATAAAAGACCACCAAGATACACTTATGATATGTGCCTGCAGGGAAAATGGAAGTTCCATGGCCAGGATCCTCACCTGATCCCAGTCTACTCACTGTACATGCAATGATGTAATACTTAGCCTACTGCGCAGGCACATACTTGTAAACCCATTGGTGATAAGCTTTTATTGCCTGTTGCTATAAAAAGAACTCGGCTAAGAGCTTAGAAAAGAGAGCAAGAGAGCAGGAGAGGGATGAGCAGAGGCAGGGAGTGGAGACAGAGCCTGGGGCAGAGGCTGAGCCAGAGATAGAGACAGAGACTTGTTACTTGTAAACTGCCGGATGCAAACGTGATTCTAACATTCCACCTACCACCATAAGAATAAAGCTTGGTATGAGCCCCTTTTTAGTCCCCACTGTTGTCCTTATTTGGTCTCACCAAAACCAGAGTGAACTTGCCCAGGGCTGAAACCCTAAGGTGAGACAGTGTCCCTTACTACATGTAAGTTATACCTCAATTAAAGAAAGCAATATGGAGGCAAAACCCAAAAGAATCAGCTAGAAGAATTAAAGTGGTTACCTCAAAGAAGCAGAAAATGGGGGGGTGGCAGATTCTTTGTAATAAGCCCTGTAGAACTTAACTACTCTCAAATAGATGTGAATTTGTAACTTTGACAAAATGTAATCTAAAGAAAAGAAAAAAAACTATGGACTTTGGAGTTAGCCAGACCTGGATTCAAACCAATTACTGGATAATTGCGAAAAGTTACGTTGCTTCTCTGGCCTTCAGTTTCTCTATCTTAAATCTATAGAACCATGTGAAAAATAGCTGAAAATGCCTTAAAGTACTTATCAAAAGTGCTTTACACATAATGAGTACTCAATAAATTCTAGTTTTCTCCCACCTACCATTTTCCTTCCAGTGCACAGACTAGCTGAACAGGCATTATTTCTGCTTGTATGTTCTCATCTCCTGCCTCCAAATCCCTCGCAGCTCTACTACCTCATTGCTCATTTATTCCCTCACTCTTTCACAGGTCACCTGTGACACCGTGATTTGCAGTAAGAAATAAGTATTTGGTCTTCCATCCCATTCCTGGCACAGAGCTCCTAAAACACTGTAATTTCTTAAGTGATGAGAGCAATCAAGGAGTCTTGTTAATGTTAATGCGGTGACCTCCGTAAAGCCCTTAGGGTCACCTAAGGATGGCAGCTGGTTGCCAGGGGACCCAACCTGGTGATTAGAGGGTTGGAACTTTCAGTCCCAACTCCTGACCTCTGTGGAGGGGACCAGGGGTGGGAGAATGAGCTCAACCGCCAATGATTTAATCATTCATGCCCAAACAATGAAGCCTCCAAAAAATATCCAAAAGGGCAGGGTTTGGAGAGCTTCTGGGTTGGTGAACATATGGAGGTACTAGGAGAGTGCCTTAGAGAAGGCCAAGGAAGCTCCATACCTCATTCCACATTCCTTGCCCTATACATCTCTTCCATCTGGCATTTCCAAGTTATATCCTTTTATAATAAACCTGTAATCTAGTAACTAAAATGTTTCTCTGAGTTCTCTGAGGTGCTATAGCAAATTAATTGAACCCAAGGAGAGGTTTGTGGGACACTCTGATCTATAGCTGGGCAGAAGCTCAGGTGACAACCTAAACTTGCAACTGGCACCTGTAGTAGGGGGAGAGAGGCCAGTGTCATTGTCATAGGACTGAGGCCTTAACCTGGGGGTCTGATGCTATCTCCAGGTAGTGTTATAATTGAGTTGAATTGTAGGACACCCTGCTGGTGTCCAAGAATTGCTTGGTGTGGAAAAAACATACACTATAATTGGTGTCAGAATTATATTATCCAACTCACTTTTCCCTCCGAAAAGAGGACTGGGGTCCCCTCTCCCACCCAACAATTATCCATGTAACTGTCACTTTCTCTGTGAACTTCAGTTTCTTCACCAGTAAAACATGGAGATCGGACAAGATAATCTCTAAGGTTGTTCTAGGACTAATACTTCTTTTTCTTTGAAATTTCTATTTCTGTGAAGCCTTTCCCAGACCTTATAATGGCTCTAAAGATGTTCCGTGAGGCATGTGATGATGTCAAACATTAACAGATGGCATGCTGCTTATAGGGAACAAGTGGGACAGGGGAGGGGGAAATTCTGCCTTCTCTCACTCACCACATGCCAAGAGCCACATGCAAATGACTGAATGCTTCTCCCCTCAAAGTGGCCTCTGCTGGGCTGCATGCATTACCCACTGCCCTGGAAGTGTTCCCCACTAGGATCAGGTGAGTTCTAAAGCACCCCTCCTTTCCTGAGGTAAGTAGGGCTTTGCATGCAAGCCAACACACACAGCTGTCCTGGTTGGCATAGGCACTTGCCTCAGCTGTCCTGGTTGGCATAGGCACTTACCTGCCCAAAGTGGTGAGCCAAAATAATGTCCACAACATTGGTTGTCAAGCCTGAGAGCTGAAAAGATAAAAACTTTGTGTCAAGGGAATAAGCATATGTTAAACATTATCAAGCTGTTCACTTAAGATTAGTGCACTTTCCTTCAACAAACAAAAACACAACTCAGTGTTACACGTGTTCACAGGACAATGGTTTCAAGACACACGAAAATAAGAAATCAGAAAACAACAAAAGAATCTCCCTTCCAGGATAATAATACAACCTGCTATGAAATGGGTGCATGGAAGAAATGCTAGCCCTGTCCTTGAAAACTTGAGAGCTACAACTCCCAGCTATTAGCTACTTCATTACTGTTTATATCTCTGCATTTACATTGGATTTATGGCAAATTAAGGATCAACTTATAACCCTCCAAAGCCATCCAAGGGACAAAAACCATTTTTTTCCATAACTCCAGTTTTTGCTATCTTTATTTCAGGGAGTGGGAGTAAATGCTATGTTTACAGAATGTTCTTGCATTTTGAACATTTTTCTCCTAATTTTTCTCAGAATCTCCTATTCTGAAATGATGGATATATCAGTCTAATAAATACAGCAATCTATATAAATCTGCAGACTGCTAGACTATTTTCAGAAAAATTTCCAACTCAAATGATGTTGCTGATTCTCCATGCCTTCCTCCTTGGTTTTAGCTCAGTTCTTACTGCTGACTTGCATCAGAGGTGAAGTACTAAGTTGGGGGTTGAGAGGAAAAAGAAGAGATGAGGGAGACAGACATGATTATGGGTGGAACAGGATCGCATAGTCCCAGAAAGATTAAGGAAGAAGTCCAAATCTCTTCACATGGTTATCAGTGATCCACAGATTAGAAATTAAAGATAATCAGAATAATCTCATTTCATATTTAATACTCATAAGATCATTCTCAAGTTTTATAAAAATTTTATTAGGTTGTAACATGTTATTGAGTGTTTAGGTGAGTTTTAAAATACCCACAACACTAGGTAGGAATTAAAACAAATTTCAAGTAAGTCAGGCTGTAACAATTTATACAGCATCAGGCAATAGCATTGTTAATGTATTTCATCCAAAGTTAGGGTATGCATCATTTCTTCAGAACTTAAATGTGGGGAGTAATGATAAATTTTTTAGAATCTTGTCTGCTCATGGGTAGAATATTGTAATGCTTTAAAAATATTAGGAAAATACAGAATATGGAAAGAGAAAAATCATCTGTAATGATACAAGCCAAATATATAACTACTAGTAAAAAACTATTTTCCCTCTTTTTTTATGCCTGTATGTAACTAACAAAATTGTATCTTTTTTAAACATGAGAATTTCTCATTTCCTTAAATAACCAAATAACAATTTTTTGGTTGCAGAGTTAAAAAGAAAACCACAAAATGGAATCAGTTCTGCTGGGCCAAGTTACTAAACTGGGGCTTAATAACTAACCTAATTGCAGTTTCAACCTCCCCCAAAATTCAGTCAGTCAGGAATTTTCTAGTCACCAAAGAGGGCAATCTGTCACATGGGCTCTCTCCATCCCCCTTCCCCCAAAAAAGATGAGGTAATCTGAATGAGCAGATCCCCTGTTCTTCTAAGAGAAGATGACTTCTTTTCTTTTGCTAATAATTTCTTGACCCACACTCCTTCCTGTAAAAATTTTCCATTTTTGTAAGACAACTTGGAGCACCTCTCTACTTGTTAGACGGCATGCTGCCTGATTCATGAATCGCTTAATAAAGCCAATTATGATCTTCAAACTTAAATTTTGTTTTTTAACAATTGTATTCCATTCTATGATTGCATCACAGTTTTGTTTATATTATTGGCATGTAGGCTGTTTCCATCTTTTTGCCTTATAAACAATGCCTTAGTGAATATTCTGGCTCTGCAATTTCCTAGCTGTGTGACCTTAAGCAAATGATTTAACTTCCCTGTGGGATAATAACAGTAGCACTTCACTGGGTTGTCCTAGGAATGAAAAATTTAAATCTACATAAGAATTTAAGAACAGTGCCTGGCACACAATGAGCACTAGACAGGTGTTAGATTTTTAAGGAATTATTATCCTATTTAAATCTTTGTAAGTATCACTATTTATCCTTCAGATAAATTCCTAGATATCAAATTACTGGATGTCAAGGTGAGTATCAATGAAGAGTCTTGATACATGTGACAAGCTGGGTGGTGATATTTTGGAGACTATCTCCAAAGGTGTATCAGAATGAACACTTATGGCAACTTAAAAAGTACTTAAGAAGTAGGCATTTGTTTAAAAATAAGATTATTACATTAGGCATCTTTTAGCAAGCATTGAAAGCTTAGGTTATTTTTCTCTCTGGGAAATTTCATAACATTACTGATTTAATCTAAACTCCAGTTTTAGATTAAAATAATGTAAGATAGTATTTATATGTGAGCAGGGAAAAACGTTTCAAAACTGCTTCCTTTGCAACCTAAAAACAGTGAATTATTTTTTTTTACCACAGGTGAGTTCATTGCAAATGGAATATGACATGGTGCTTTCTCCCTTATTCTCTCTCTTTTCACTGTGGTTGTTGCTGGGATTGTTTATATTTGTTTATTTATTTCAAGTAATTTATATAAAGTCATTAGCATACCCTGTAGTTGCCTAGCTTCTTGAATAGATTTTAGAAAGCATTCTACCTAGGTAACAAATATCTTCATTTTTTTTTCAGATAGCAAACATCTACAATCCACACATCTTTGGAAGTAGTAGCACAGATAAGCTATTTGGGTTCAATGAAGAGTGATTCATTTGCTTATTCACTCATTCAAAGAGTGAAAATGAAAAACATATTGGGAGAAGATATTTATATGTAACCAGTAAAGGCTTCATATATTCAGACTACATGAATAAGAAAAAGACTAGCAACCCAATTTAAAAAAAAAGGCAAATGAGGAATAGTCCTTTCACCAAAGGATATTCAAATGGCCAGTGAATTTTAGAAAAGGTGTTCGATTACCTTGGGCCCTTAGGGAGATGCAAATTAAAACTCAGCATTATTTGCCCATAATATAGCTTAAAATTGAAAAGATGGCACAATTAAAAATAGTTTCTTAGTTCCTAAAGCTATTTTGGTGATAGGTACCATGTAAAAACAAACTAATATTACAAATAAAAGTGCTCATCTTTTACAAAAATTAAAAGGACTGTCAAATGTTGGTGAGGATGTGGGACAACTGGAACTTGCATGCATTGCTTATGTGTAAATTTAAGTATCCACTAAAGCTAAACATACAATGCCCTATGCTCCAGCAAGTCCGCTTCTAGGTAGAGACCAAGAGAAATGAATGAGTATGTCTACTGATAGGCATGTAAAAGAATGTGCAATGAGGCTTTATTCCTAATAACCAAGGAACAACCAACTCATTTTTATATTCACACAATATACTGACTACTAAACAATTAAAAAGAACTACTGCTATACACAACCTGAGTGAGACTCACAGAGAAGGATGAATGAAAGAAGTTATATACAAAAGAATACATATTCTATTATTGCAACTATATCAAGTAAGAGTAGATAAAAGCATTCTGTGGTGATAGGAATCAGAGTAACAGTTAGGCAAGAGGAAGTACTAAGGAAAAGGCACAAGTGAATCCTCAGAGCTGGAACTATTCTATATATTGATTGGGTGGTAATTACCTATTTAAACATTCATCAAGCTGTATACTTAAAACTTCTTGCCCGTAACCGCATATACCTCAATGGAAAAAAAATAAATCAGTAAAAGATAAGTCATACTGAGAAGGGACCATTTGGTGGTCATCATTTGGTGCTTACTTTGGAAGCTGCCCAGTCAATCCAACCTTTAGCACAAGGGTCAACATTAATAAGCAGAAGGCCTTCCACAAGCTCCGGATGATTGAGCTGAAATACGAGACAAACACAACAATATGAAAGTTCCACTCCCAGCATTCCTGTAAAAATACTGGAGTATGATTATCAATTCTTACTATGCCTAATGCCTCAGATTTGGAAGTTAAGACTTCAGAGAAGTGCTGGGAGGACATTTGGGAGAATAGCTTTTTAAATCTAAGTTAGCATCTGGAAAAAACAGTTTCTTAAATTGCCATCAAATGATCTTGCCCTTCAAGAATCTTTGGGGGACATGTATATTTCTGCAGCAGAGGAACCTGGAGGTATCTTGTAGTTATTCAGCTCATTAGGTCTTGCCTGCTGGGTAAGTGTCCTTGGAACTACTTAGCATAAGAGGCTGCTGAGACTTAGACTGGCTATTTTACACTCATACACTTTGCTTTCAACGGGGACTTCTTAAAATTTTTTTCTGAAGCCACAGGAATGGGTGATACCAACCCCCAGAAGACTGTCCTACCACCAAAGAAGGCATCTGAAAAAGAGTTCCTTACATAAAAATCAGTAGCAACATTTTTATGTAACCTCAAAACTTTTTAGCTTACTTTCTTCCTCTGAATACAAGGATTATGCTCACTACAAAAAATACGTTAAAAAATGAACTTTTATCACACTACACACCATCAATCCCTGTTACTATTTTGGCATATTTCCTTCCAGTCCTTTCCTATGCCTATAACAAATTTTCTGTGAATCTGTATTCTAATTTATTAATGTTATAGTACATGTGAATTTCATTATTATTACAGGCTCTTATAAAATTTTAATGATTGTATAAAATTCCATCATGGGTATTCTCTAAGAATTACTTTTTATTGATGATGTACTTGCCCTCATTCATGATTTTTCAGGTACTATAAGTACAAAGCAAGGTTTTATATAAACCTGTATCTGTTGCTGATGGAATGTACAGAAAAACTGATGTAAGACCCCCAAGAGTACCTGATCACTTAAAACAGCAGTAAGAGCTGTGACCTAGGCAGTGCCTCAAGGGTGTCAGGACTAAACCTCCATGTACTTACTGCAAATTTGCTGAGGATGTAAGCTCCTGCTCCAACTCCAACTCCAATGATGCTTTTCAGACTGTGGAGAGGACACACCAACAGTGACAGGGTCAACTCGTTTGGAGGTAACATGGCACAATGGAAAGAATACAACTGAGTTAAAATCTGGTTCTAATGCTCACTGGATGTAGAATTTGTTCAAGTTTCTGAGCCTCAGCTCCCTATCTATAAAATAGTAAATGAAATATGACTAAAACCTGGGATTCATTCACAACAGCTCATTCTCCTATTATCTCCATGTCCAACCCATCAGCAAGTCTACAGAGTCCACCTCCAAAACATTTCCATCTATTTCCATCTGCTTCACTCCAACCACCACCCACAGCCTCTAGTACTAAGTACCTCTGCCCGACTGTAGTAATAGTTTAAGTGTCCCTGCTTATTCCTCTCTAACTCATTCTCCCCACAGCTATAGTAATCCTTTCTAAAAATGTAGACAGCTTTCTAATGTGCAAGTCACGTATATAGAGTGATCATTTTAAAAGGCTAAATTGGATAATACTCCCCTGCTTAAAACCCTTCCATGTTTTTTCTTTGAATTTTGGGATTTTGAATAAAATCCCAAATTCTTACCTGATCCATGAAACCTGTGTAACCTAGCCCTTGTCTGTTTCTTAAATTTCACCCCAATCCTTTTTCCTACTTGCTCATTTCGTCCAGGGCTTCTGGACATAGTATTCCTTCCATCTAGAATCCCCTTGCCCTGGCTCCTCTGAGCAGCATCTTTTTATTCTCCAGGTCTCAGTGTAAATGACACCTTCTTAGGGGAGGCATTACTCAGCTGCCTTATCTGTATGGATCCTGCCCCTATTCTCCATCATGGTGCCCACACTGACTTCTACAGCACATTACTTGTGATTATTTGTTTGTTTACCTGTAAACTATTTTCCTCATTAAGACATAAGCTCCATGAGGGTAGTGACTATCTGCTTTGTTCACCATCATATCTCCTTAGATCAGACACATATAGTAGAAAGTCAATGAAAACTGTGTAAAACAACTGCAGAAAGAACATACCTCAAGTGGGTAAGAACAGGAGGCAGCATTTCAGCCAGCTCATCCATTGTGGGGTACTGGTACCTGAAACCCAAAAGGATATCTTCAAAATTAGAATGCACCCATATTTCTCAATCACCAGAATAGCTAGAAAAGGACAGGGTTCTTAGATGAAAGCAGTCTTTTTATCAAAGGCTCAAAGGAGGTCATGTGGTGCCTGGAAATGACTGTAGTGTGTTGTGCAACTCTGTGACCGCCATGCTAAGAAGAAAGTACAAGAACCTATGTGTTTGTATCCTTAAGAGCAGTACCTGGAAGCAGAGGAAGCCACTTGAAGAAAACAGATAATGTAGCTTTCTCTTAGGTTATTTCCAAATTCCTAACAATCACTTCAATTGGGGTTCAACTCAGTATACTTCCAGAAGTAAGAGTCAACTCAGGAAGTGGCTCTTGATCAGCTGCTTGTATTTAGGCAGCTCAGTGCAAAAGTAAACAAAGCTTTACTGGGCTTAAGCACAGTCACAAATCCTCGACTTCTCATCATGAATATTTTGTTTTACTTAGGCACTGATAACATGATTACTTTATTGCTTTTGAATTTAGTTCGTGATATAAACCATCAGATCCTAAAATGGTTAAGCAAGCCTAGGAACGGATTCAGACTAGGAATCCAAGAACAGTAGAGTGTCCACAGAAATTAAACAATCAAAGATAGAAGAGATCTTAAGACAACCTCCTGTATATGAAGTGGGATCTGCTCTACACCTGACTGGGAAGTCAGCCTGCCACTGCTTGAAACACTTTAAGTGATGGAGTGCTCCTAAGCCATTTGTACACGAAATAGAAAAAAAGCTGGAACTAAATCTTGTTGGATATAAACTGGTCACTGGTCAATTAATGTTTGAGAGCCAGAATAGCCTAGACACAGTTAATAACATGGATTCTAGAGACAGACTGCCTGGGTTAAAATCCCAGCTTTGCTACTTAGTTGTTATGTAATCTTGGTCAAGTTACTTAATATGTCTAGGACTCAGTTTCCTCATTTGTAAATGGGACTGACAGTAAACTTATCCCATAGGGCTCTGAGGGCTAAATGTCTTCATAAATGTAAAGTATTTCAAGCAGAGGCAGGGACAGTGTTGAAGTTCTGTGTATGTGTTAGCTTCTATTTATCTGCAATGACCTATTTCACAATAGCCACCAGCAAAGGCAGCTCTGGAGATGAGTAAAGGGAGAGGGAGAATAAGCACCCTATAGTTTGTGCTTTCACTCCTCCTCCCAGGGTCTTCTCAATAATTATACTGTCTAGGGAAGAGCTAGGGAGACATGGCTCTGCCACACAAAGTGGGTTTAGAATGAGGCCAGAGCTCCAAGTCCAGTCAAAATGCACCTTTATCTGAGAAGGCATAATAAACGGTCAGAATAAACAGTTATATAGATACTCAAATTCCTGTTCCCAGATTGGGAGGTAAGAGTAGGAAGGTGCTCCCAAGTGCCTGAGAGGGATCTGAGTTTGGGCCTAGGTAGTGAGAGTTTCAGGGAGGGATACAAAAATGACAGATTTAAAATGAGTGAGGAAGGGGACAGATAAAAGACAGTGAGAGGTGTGTGTTCCAGACACTTATGTCTTGCCACTACAGAGAGACAGGCTCCCATCTATGGAGAGCCATTCCTGGATATGGGAAAACATGCAGTTTTCCTCAACAGATTGAACATAACAGTCCTCACAGAGCAAGGAGAGAAATATGGGGTGGCTGGTTGGTAAGTACGACCTGTAGGCTGTGTTAAAATCAACTGGGAGGGGAAACACACACTACTTCTCCCACCGGACCTCAGTTGTTTGGTCTTTTGAGTGCGTGCCTTTCAGAAGATCTTGCTGGTGGCCTTACCCTGTTGGGAAAGAGGGCGCGCCTTCCTGCTGGCCTGGGGCATCCACGTGACACACAGCAAAGTGCTGAGTGATCTCCTGCATATCCTCAAAGTTAAAGAACGCATTGAAACAGGATTTATCTGGAAGAGTAAAAACACTCATTAGCCACAGGCTCTCCATTTCTCCTCAGTTTTCGTCTACTCAATCAATTCCCTATCATCATCCCCTTTCACTGTTTTTTTTTTT